TGTAGCCAACTTGTGGGTTTGATTGACTCACAGGCTGATACCCAGTCTGGGGAGTAGTGTGAGATGATGGCTGAGGCTGATATCCTGACTGCGGACTGGCTTGAGATGGCAACTGAGGGCTGTAGCCAGACTGTGGGGTGGCTTGGGATGCGGACTGCGGGTTGTACTCAAACTCTGGGTTTGACTGAATCTCAGGCTGATACCCTGATTGTGGGATGCCTTGGGATGCAGACTGAGGGTTGTATCCAAAGTCTGGAGAAGATTGACTCTCAGGCCTGTATCCAGACACTGGGATGGATTGAGACGAGGGCTGAGGCTTATACCCTGACTTTGGAGTAGCTTGAGACGGCAACTGAGGGCTGTAGCTAGACTGTGGGGTGGCTTGGGATGCGGACTGAGGGTAGTACTCAAGCTCTGGGTTCGACTGAATAGCAGGCTGATACCCTGACTGTGGGATGCCTTGGGATGCAGACTGAGGGTTGTAACCAAACTCCGGAGAAGATTGACTCTTAGGCCCATACCCAGACACTGGGATGGATTGAGACGAGGACTGAGGCTTATACCCTGACTTTGGAGTGGCTTGAGATGCGGGCTGAGGGTTGTATCCAAACTCCGGAGAGGATTGACTCTCAGGCTTATATCCCGAGTTGGACGCAGACTGAGGCGTATATCCAGACAGTGGGTTAGATTGGGATGCAGGCTGCGGGTTGTACTCAAACTCCGGGCTAGATTGACTCTCAGGTATGTACCCAGACTCTAGGCTGGACGGAGACTCAGATATGTAACCAGCCTCTGGGGTGGAGTGAGACTTGGGCGGAGAGTTGTACACGGACTCCGCACTGGAGGACTGTGAAGGCTTTGGTCTTTCGCGAAGGGGAGCGTGGAATCGAGGGGGTCTCGCCGAGGGTGTGGCCACGGAGTGAGAACTTGACGGTGTCGCCGGAGATTGCGAACTTGCCGGTTTGGCCACAGAGTGGAAACCCACAGTGTGGAAACTTGAAGATGTGGCCGTACCTTGGGAACTTGAAGATGTGGCTGGAGATTGGGTACTCGAAGACGTGGCCGGAGATTGCGAACTTGACGGTTTGGCCACAGAGGTGGAACTCGAAGATGTGGCCGTAGCTTGGGAACTTGAAGAAGTGGCTTGAGATTG